TCAGCATGTGAAGTTTGTGCACCTGGGTATTTTCGTCTGGATATTTTTAGTATTTTAAGAGTTATTGCCCTTGACTTAGTAAAATTTGTAATTTTCAACTTGTGCCGCATGTAACTCAAAAAAGTAATTTGACCTAGAGTCATGAAACTTTACAGGAATGTTGATCAGTATGTGTAGTTGTGCCACCTGGTATTTTTGTCTGGATATTTTTAGTATTTTTTAGAGTTATTGCCCTTGACTTAGTAAAATTTTTAATTTTCAAACTTGTGTCGCATGTAACTCAAAAAGTAATTTGACCTAGAGTCATGATACTTTACAGGAATGTTGATCAGCATGGGTAGTTGTGCACCTGGGTATTTTCGTCTGGATTTTTTTAGTATTTTTAGAGTTATTGCCCTTGACTTAGAAAATGTTTGCAATTTTCAACATGTGTCGCATGTAACTCAAAAAGGATATGACATAGGGTCATTAAACCTTATTGGAAAGTTGCTCAGCATTATCCCCCGCCGATGGAATCGGGAGGGGGATATAGTTTTGGCGTTGTCCGTCCGTCCTTCCGTCCGTCCGTACATCCGAATTTCGTTTCCGGAGTAGTTCTCTGCAACTAATGGCTGGAATTCAACGAAACTTTATGGGAATGTTGATCAGCATGTGAAGTTGTGCACCTGGGTATTTTCGTCTGGATATTTTTAGTATTTTTAGAAGTTATTGCCCTTTTGACTCAGTAAAATTTTGTCCGAATTTCGTTTCCGGAGTAGTTTCTCTGCAACTAATGCTGGAATTCAACGAACTTTATGGAATGTTGATCAGCATGTGAAGTTGTGCACCTGGGTATTTTACGTCTGGATATTTTAGTATTTTTAAGAGTTATTGCCCTTGACTTAGTAAAATTTTGTAATTTTCAACTTGTGCCGCATGTAACTCAAAAAGTATTTTGACCTAGAGTCATGAAAACTTTACAGGAATGTTGATCAGTATGTGTAGTTGTGCACCTGGGTAATTTTGTCTGGATATTTTTAGTATTTTTAGAGTTATTGCCCTTGACTTAGTAAAATTTTGTAATTTTCAACTTGGGTGTCGCATGTAACTCAAAAAGTATTTGACCTAGAGTCATGAACTTTACAGGAATGTTGATCAGCATGTGTAGTTGTGCACCTGGGTATTTTCGTCTGGATTTATTTTAGTATTTTTAGAGTTATTGCCATCGACTTAGAAAATGTTTGCAATTTTCAACATGTGTCGCATATAACTCAAAAGGATTTGACATAGGGTCATTAAACCTTATTGGAAAGTTGCTCAGCATATTTAGTTTGTTCCTGGGGTTTCGCTTGTGGATTTATCCAGTATTTGTAGAGTTATTTCCCTTGACTTAGTAAAAAAAACTGTTTCATTAAATGTTTGTTATTTGATCCTTGAGTGCTTGAGTTAGAATTGATCAACTTACAGGAATAATGATCAACATCACTAAATTATAGGAATAATGATTCACCTTCACTGTGATGCCTATGAACCTGGGACTTTGCATTGGATTTTTTTCAGTTTTGTTAGAGTTATTGCCCTGAATTACAGTAGTATAAATTTGCAATTTTCAACTTGGGTTTGCTTTGGGATTTATTCAGTATTTGTAAAGTTCTTGCCTTTACTTAGTAAAAAGATTTTTAGTTTTCGAAAAATGTTTTGACCTAGAGTCATAAAGATTGACAGAACAGTGGCGCGGTGGGGGCACCCGTGTCCTATGGACACATTTCTAGTTTTTATTAAAGAAGAATTAAAATGATTTTTACAATAACATTTAAAAATATTTGAAAATTGTGAGATCCTTCTTCTGATGCCTTGAAAAATGGCAATGAAGTCTGGAGATTAAGTTTTTTACATCTATGTGAGCTATTGTGATCCCCCACCGTCCGTCGTCGTGCGTCGTCAGCAATTTCTTTAAACAACATCTCCTCAGAAACAAATGACTGCACAGCAACCAAACTTACAGGAATGATCCTAGGGTGGTCCCCTGCCAAAGTTGATCAAATTGGTTCCGGTCTTTGCATAAGTAGGTCACAGCCAGAAAGGAGTTCAAAAAATGCAAAATTAAAAAATCTTGTCTGAAAGTACAAGCCTAGAGCTTTTGATATTTGGTATATGATATAACCTATAGTCCTCTACCAAAAAAAATTGTTCAAATTTTAGCCCTGGGTCAAAATTGGCCCACTCAGGGGGTCATAGATTTTCCTTACATGTATATAGTTGAAAACTTAAAAATTCTTCTTGTTTGAAGTACATCAGGGCTTCAAAGTTCAAAGAAATATTACAGTTTATGCCATGATTAATATATAAATAAAGCCTTATGTCTTCAGTTGTTGTGTTAATAATAACCAGTTACTCGGCGGGGATATAAATTCAACGAATTTGGCCTTATTAGTCTGTGACTAGTTTTTTAGGAAGTACACAGTATTTCAAAATAAACATGTAATCCCCCCCTCCCCCCCCCCCCACTGAAACTGAAAATTAAAAAATAGTTTCAGCGTTAACGATAGTTCAGTAAATTTCAAAATAGTAATCAAATTTCCTGAATTATCATTGAATTGGTAATTCTGTTGAATATTTATGTTTTTGAAGCACGGTTACTTAGTTACCAGTATATCAAGTTCCCAATGGAGTGAACAATTTGCGTTATATTTGTAACCCGTGGTGATTTCCAGTTTTCAATTATTTTATATCATATTTCACATTTCTAATGTATGGATTTATTTATGGCACACTTCAAAGCTTTGATTTAAAGCAGCATGCCTCCAGATTCATGCAAATTTTTATGCAAATTTTGAAAATGTGAAATATTGTGAAGCCAACAAAGATATTTAAATTTACACATTTACACACAAATGGCACTAACAGTCCACATAAATTACCAAAAAGAGGTCAAAATATGCAAATATAGTCATTTCTTTGTTACTTATGCAGCAGCTTTAATATGGTAACAAATACTGCAAAATCTGTCATTAAATGTTCGAGATTTCAAAGTGCTGCAACTTCTCAATGGATTGAGATAGAGTAATTGGCTTTTCAGCGTTAGTTACCCGACTTTACGATCGACCTGAGGCCATTTTTAGACAGTCACATGTCCAAAATTTTCATGGTGAATAATGCACAGACCTGCCGTCTTCCTCCACCAGTAAAGCTGGCCGTCAGTGTGACGTAAAACCCAATCAAACAAACAAATCATGGTAAAGGGTTGAGGACATCTGCACCAAGCACCTTTTCTGCTATTATATACTATATACTGTTATATTTCAGTTTATAAAAATGTTGGGAATTAAATGTAAGGAAAATAAGTATGATGTCATAGAGAAGACTTATTATAATCACGTTTTGTTATAATTTTATTGATGTCGCTCTTGGAAGTAAATTGGTTATCTTATAGTGTTTCCAGAAATATTTTTTTTCGATAATTAATATTTTGAAGCCGCATGTCTCAAGAGAAACACAATAGGTCTTTAATAAATCAAATTGAGGAAACATTTTTGTTTCAAACAGTGAGAAACCATATAAATAATGCAAATAAACCATATTCTACTTGTCACATTTATAGCAACATTGATTTGAAATTGACCTATGGTAGAGTTGGATTTATAGACTTGATTTTATAGCTATATTTTTTAAAGAATTAATGAAATATTGCAAAATAGTTTTGTCAAGTGAGCTTGTAGATGGATCTAATTTATTGAAACAGTCCTAATTAACTTAGAAGGTCCTAATTTGCTCGCATGGTCTTTAAGTAACTGAGATGGTCCCATTTTACTTGAATGGTCCTCATTTCCTGAGATAGTCCTAATTTACTTGAATGGTCCTAATTCACTGAGATGGTCCTAATTTACTTGAATGGTCCTAATTTACTAAGATGGTCCCAATTTACTTGAATGGTCCTAATTTACTTAAATGGCCATAATTTACTTGTATGGTCCTAATTCACTGAGATGGTCCTAATTTACTTGAATGGTCCTTATTTACTTAGATGGTCCTAATTTACTCAAATGGTCCTAATTTACTTGGATTGCCATACTTTACTTGAATGGTCCTAATTCACTGAGATGGTCCTAATTTACTTGAATGGTCCTAATTTACTTAGATGGTCCTAATTTAATGATATGATCCTTATTCACTGAAATGGTCTCAATTCACTGAGACAGACCTAATTTACTAAAATGGTCTTAATTCACTTGAATAGTCTTAATTCACAGAGAGGGGCCTGATTTATTAAAATGGTTCTTATTCCCTGGAATGGTCTTAATTCACTGAGATGGTCCTTATTTTCGTGATGGGTTTTAATTCCTGGAAAAGGTTTTAAATTCACGTTATGGGCCCAATTTATTTATGGGGCTTACTTAATCTTTGATACTGGGGATATTCTATTTCACTGGAATGGTCCCCTTTAATTGACTGAGGTGGTTCTAATCTAATTCCTGAGAAGGTCCTAATTTTCAAATGATGGTCATAAAAATCACTTAAATAGTTCTACCGATAATTTACTGATATGGTCATTATTCAATGAGAGGAGGTCCTTAATTTTTTCCCTGAGGTTTATAAATTGGCTGCAAAGAGATTGAAGTAGAGTAATTGTTACTGAGTTTTTGGTAAAAAAATGTCCATTTGATACTGCCAATTGTGACTAATGACATTCTTTGACTTGTTTTTGACAGGTTAATGCCATTTAGAGTGGACATTTAAGCATGACTTCTAGTTGGCAATATATGACTTCAGCAGCCTGACTCATAATGCCGCATAAAAGTGAAGCAGGCTTAGCATACAATATTTGTAGACTCATTTCTAAGCCAGGTTGTAATATACTACAGGCTACTCGAATTTTAAGTATTAAAGATAGCTGAAATCACTTGAACAATGCAGGGCAGTAACTGATCTAGATTTTAAGCCGGGCATGTCCATTTACATAAATGTAATTATAATAGTAATATAATATAATAATTTACAATTTTATATTTCTATATTTTCAGTTTTGACTTAGATTCTCAAACATGGTCCATCATAGAACCATCACCAGAAAGCACGGTGAGTTACATAAATCTTTACATCTACCCTCTAGAATTTGATATCACTTTGCTAGAGCTATAAACGGTATAAGGTCTATCTATGTCAATAGTCCTGTTTAAGTTGCAAAAAAAGGTTGAATTTTTTCATGGTTAGGAAGCTATCCTGCAAGCTTATTCATGGTGCCAATACCATGTGACTTTAAGTGATCTGTGTTTGGCAGAAGACCAATATAAAAAATTGGTCCACATAGTATTTTCTGTCATAACATTTTGAAATTTCTATTATCTGTTATGGGATATATAGTGTAGAGCTCTTTCATTACAGTGAGTAACCCATTTATGGAATGCTTTTTGAGAAAAAAGATTTTTAGCTCGACAATTTGAAGAATAGGGAATGCTATTGTATTCACCCTGATGTGGGTGTCAGCATCACATGTTGGTTAAGTTTTTGTGTGCAAGTTGGTACCTCCAATACTACTGAGTGGAATGGATTTAAACTTCACACACTTAAGAGCATAATAGGAGGGGACTGTTCAAGACCCATAACTTTAACATGGATTTTTACAGAATTATGACACTTTTTAAACGTAGAAATTTCTACATTATCAAGGCTCTTGTTTTATTATTAAGCACTTGTTTTTCTTAGAGTGAAACAGTGTGTTTGAACAGTAAAAACTTCCAATGCAGTGTCACAAAAAAAAGTTTTATTTTTTTATTTTTAACCATTTATTTGTATAGGTAACTCACTAGAATACCTGGAATCTGAACTTTATTTGATAAAAAATAATGAAATATCAAAAAAAAAATGTTATGAAAGATAATGCCTAAAATAACATAAAAAACATGAAAATACCAGGGGAGGATTTACAATCTACATGTTGTCACCTTAGTGCAGTAAAGGGCTAACTCCTTATATAATTTAATTGTAGTTAGTCTGTTACTGCAAGAAGGTGACTATATTTCCTTAACATAATTATACCAACACATGTACATGCATAATTTTATATAGTGAAGAAAAAATGTAATTTGTTTTTGGAAAATTACCTTGAACAATGACACACTCTTTTGTAATGTTAAATGGATACCAGAATTTGCAGAAATTACTAATAGTATGAAACTAGAATTAGGTTTTGTTTATTACATAATAAAATTGAGCTCCGATACAAAATGACTAATGAATCAATACTGTTTGAGTTCCGCAGGGAGCTGTGCCACTATATTATCATTTTCGCTAATTGTATAAAGAGCATGCCATCATACAAGCTCTATTGATCAGCGAAGAGTTTAGCTTCCATTGTCGCCAGCGTTACATATCATACTGTAAAAACAATGTCCCATCATTCCAGCTTTTAATAGTATTGTCGTTAACAACGGTTTTTGATTTTATTAAAAAAAAGAGGAAATTTTTTTTTTCCGTAGCTTATGACTTAAATTACTGAAATGTGGACAAAACAATTGCTTTTATAGTTGCGGTGATGATATTGAAATTATTATTTACTGTTAAAGGTATTGGTTTTTGTTGTAGTGTTTTTTTTTCATCGTTTATGGAAGATGTTAAGCAAAGAATGAAGTTGAAATTGGATATAATTGATATCTTTTATGTGGGTAGTTAAGTCGAGAACTTTGTATTTAAATTAAGATTTTGCGGAAGGAAGTGTGGACAGATTTGTGGTATGGTTTATATTGTGTGAAATATTTTATTGTTAATTTTGTAATTGATAGCAAATCAAATATGATAGCAAATCAAATATGTATGGATGAAGATATTATAAGTATTTTTACTAACTATTTGAAGCAAAGTTATAAACAAAGTGTGAAGAAGTTTATGGAAATATTTTTTAACAAAAATGTTATGAACTCAAAATTTTTTAAATAAATGTAGATTTAGAGAGAAATATTAATTTACTTGATTACAGGTTATACGAAAATTAACATTTAAAACTTGCGGAGTACCCTAAAGCTAATGGATATTACAAAGATGTAACTATTGAATCTGTTTTTGAGTGGTCAATTTTTTAGCAATTTAGTTTATTTTATGAATTATTTAGGTCTTTTAATGCTTGATGAAATTAATATTAAGTGGCACAGAAGGGATATGTTGGCACATAAAGTTTACCATGTTTTCCCATATTTATTACCATGTATATATTAAGATTTTTCTGTTCACTTGGTGCCAGCATATTAAACTTTTCTATGCTACCAGTATAAAGTAAGGTCAGAGTGCATAAGTCCTGTAGTCCAACCAGATCATGCTTTTACTGTTTGCTGCATAGTTTTAAGGTTTTGACATTACAAAAAATTTTACCCTTAATTTGTTGAAACCAAAATGTGATAAGCCTTTGCCACCAGTTACATCTGTTATAAAAATGAAATTAAGGGGTTATATTAAATTTTATACTAAGTGACAATATGCTTGATTTCAAAGCCAATGTAAAATAACAAAAATTGTTGTTGTTTTTTTTTATCCAAAGAGCCTTATAATGAAAATTATTGCATATTTTATATTTAACCCTTTCATTGCCATAGGGACGGCTTAAGCCGTCCCTGTTATATTTGGCGTATTTACCATATGGATGGCTTTAGCCGTTTTTAGCTCGACTATTCGAAGAATATGAGAGCTATTGTAGTCGCCCCGGCGTCGGCGTCGGCGTCAGCGTCCGCGTCCGCGTCCGCGTCTGCGTTGGTTAAAGTTTTTTGTAAAGTCAAATATCTCAATTATTACTTGAGATATTCAATTGAAACTTACAATACTTATTTATAGTAACAAGGTACATCAGATTGACAAGTTGGATAACTCTGCCTACAATATTGACAGAATTATGCCCCTTTTTAACTTAGAAATTTTGGTTAAAGTTTTTTGTAAAGTCAAATATCTCAATTATTGCTTGAGATATTCAATTGAAACTTACAATACTTATTTATAGTAACAAGGTACATCAGATTGACAAGTTGGATAACTCTGCCTACAATATTGACAGAATTATGCCCCTTTTTAACTTAGAAATTTTGGTTAAAGTTTTTTTATAAAGTCAAATATCTCAATTATTGCTTGAGATATTCAATTGAAACTTACAATACTTTATTTATAGTAACAAGGTACATCAGATTTACAAGTTGGATAACTCTGCCTACAATATTGACAGAATTATGCCCCTTTTTAACTTAGAAATTTTGGTTAAAGTTTTTTTATAAAGTCAAATATCTCAATTATTGCTTGAGATATTCAATTGAAATTTAAAATACTTTTTTATAGTAACACTGTACATCAGTTTGCAAAATTGCATAACTCTGTCTGCAAAATTTGCAGAATTATTTGCCCCTTTGAAAGTTAGAAATTTTGGTTAAAGGTTAAAGGTCTTCAAAGATATTTACTTGAAACTTTACACATGCACTTAGGGTCATAATTGGAGGGTCATAATTGTATGTCACTGACCAAGTTCCATAACTCTATCTTGCATTAAGGCTGATTCATATTCCCTTTTCTACTTAGTCTCTTGGTTAATGTTTACATGCAAGTTTTACATATCTCAATAACTATTAAAGATATTTATTTAAAACTTCATATATGCATTTAGGGTCATAATTGTAGGTCACTGACAAAGATCCATAATTCTATCTTGCATTTAGGCTGATTTTTCTCCCCTTTTTCAACTTAGAAATTCATGGTAAAGTTTTGCTTGTAAGCTGTTATCTCAATAACTACTGAAGGGTTTGTGCCTTTTTGGGACAATTTTATGCATTCATAATAATAAAGCAGTGATTTACTTGATAAAACATCTTAATAACAAGCCTTTGTACCTTTTCTGTCAAATTTATGTATTCATAGGTTATTAGTATTATTATACTCAATAAAACACCCTTGTGACATTACCTTCCGAATAGTCAAGCCAATACTGTATAATTGGCCTATAACATGAATTTATATAAAAAAAATTGGCCCTTTAGTGAACTTAAAAAATTTAACATTATGAAGGCTCTTTTACTATCAAGCACTTAGAATAGTCGAGCATGCTGTCCTACTGACAGCTCTTGTTATGATAATAATACTAATAATTATAAATTATTGATAATAATAATAAAAATAATAATAGATATAATAGAAATGATACAATTGACAATAATTATTATTATACTAACAGATTTGGAAACATATATAATTATTATAATACTAATAACAAATAATAATAATTATATTAATTAATAATATAGTTATTTCTTAGAAAATCCTCTTACAAATAGGTGAACAATAAAACAATAACCCTATGGCAGCGAAAGGGTTCATACTTCGAAAGAAAAAGAAGTTCCATGCATATCATATTTTTGTTTTTAGATTTTAACAAAGGATCTTGTAGTATAGGAAATTCATATGTAAATGATATTATACAGCTTTATTTATGATTCTGAGTTTCAAGTTATTGCAGTGGAAAGTAAGTAAGGTTCATCAATACTGCAGTATTATTGCTTCATTTATGCTGTTTTGATGTAAAATAAAATGACGGCAGTTGCCAGCCATTGATCACTGGAACTCTTTTTTCATTAATCATTGGGACTAGGTCATGTTTTCAGTTTTATCAGATATTTTTTACGGGCATTGAGCAGAGCTTTCAATGTGGTAATGTAAATTTTGAGTGATATCAGATCTGGGAATTTTAGATTGCACATGTCCTGAGTGGTTTGGTGACTTAAGTATTCATAAAAACAAATGTTCTGGAAACAAAAAATGATTTTCTCTTTTTCACAGAATTATTAATTTTATTCCTTTTACAAGGATTAAGCTATTTCTGTCTTTAAGAACTACATTTCTTTTCTTCTTAATATTGAATCAATTAAAAATCAATTTCAGAATTGAAAAAAGGGAGTGGTTTCAAAACCAAAGATTAAATAATTTTGTGGAAAAAAACAACATATATTTATTAATTAAGCATTCATGTACATGTTTTTGAAATAAAACATAATATTTTGAGTGAATATCACTAGATTTAGTCAGAATCTGATGCAAAATAAAGAATAATATTTTTT